CGGACAGCTCTGACTGTCAGGAAGTTCTTCCTAATGTTCAGATGGAATCTCTTTTCCTCTAGTTTGAAACCATTGCTCTGTGTCCTAGTCTCTGGAGCCCTAGAAAACAAACCTGTCCCCTATTGTCTTCATCAACTGCAGGCCTTCCAGGTTTTTTTGGACTACAACTCCAGTTAGCCCCCAATGAGCATAGCTAGTGGTTTTGGGATAGCGGGCATTAGGTAAAATGATAACTGGCTGTGTTTCTTGCTTTCCCTTTACATAGTTTTCATTGTGGTATCCAGTGAGTAACCTCACCCAAGAAACACAGCTCTAAGTATGCTTCCTTGCAGCCTTCCTAATAAAATGTTTTTGGCCATTAGGTACTGTAACATCTCCATAATTTAAAATAGAAACTTCAGTGTAAAATATTTAGAAGGGAAAAGGCAGATGGGCCATCTGTTCTAGTATCCTGCTGCCCCACAGTGGCTGACCAGATGCCTCGGGGATGCCCAAAAGGAGGACGTAGGAAAGTCAAACCGAGCTTTACCTTTTGAAAGTGTGCGTTTATAGAATATAAAAATTGGGGGGGGGGAGGCCCTGTGACATTTTAAACAAATTGTGATAGACTACATTTGTATGATCGATATCAAACCCCTTTTGCTTCTTTGTGGGTCCTAAAGTGCCCCACCCGTCGGAGTTGTGAGAAGAATTGAAAGTCAAAAGTGTCAGTGGGCATTAGGATCAGCAATGAAGAGCAGGGGCACCCTTGCTTTTTTGGGAGCAGCCTGACACACAGCTAGTGACATTCATTAGTTCAGAAAACTTGCACGGAAGCCTATCTCCAAGGATTCGGTGATTACATGAAAGGTTGTCATTCTCTCTGGCAGCTCTTTTCACGGCCAGGAAGTCTGGCTCTTTATTTTCCTGCTGACGTGAGAGCACCGAGCTGCAAACAGAAAGAGGGACACCATCACACAGAATCGTTCCTTTTTGATGCACAAGAACATAGGCCTCCTTCTCGTCGCCTCAAATAGATGTGTGTATATGGAGATCCAAACGGTGTGCCAACCAGCTACCTCAGCCTTGATAACTTCTACTGCAGAATGTAAAGCTGGAAATAGACAACAGTTCTGAAGAGTCCTGGAAGTGGACTGAGACAGAGATTGCTTCACTGCACATTTCTTTTGTCCCCATGTTGTCTCTGGCCGTACAGGTTTTTGTAACAAAAACCTGCAAAACCTATTTCGCCAGAACAGGACAGAAGTGGAAAAAGAGAGGCAGTGAATATAAACATGACAGTCATTTCTATTCCAAATTGTATTCTCTAGTTATCATCTGTCTCTGGCTGAATTGGCAGAAGCATTCTCTGTGTAGTGGGGAATCACAAGGAAAGCCATTGCATAGATACAGTAGTAATATATAAAGAAAAGATATATACAGTATGTGTTACATAAATTTACAAAGTTGGATTAACTTCCACCTTCTCTCTTATTGTAGTTTTGGACTCCACTTTTTTTCCATTAACCACACACATTGATTCATTTACTAACCAACTAATTGAGCACAGGGGCACCTTATGTCAATTAAGCAAGCGTATACTAAAAATAGGACTGGTTAAAAATGTCTTAGGGACAAATTCAACCTTGTGCTGTGCAAAAGTGTCAAGGTTGTCCATCATCTAGGACTGACATATTTTGTATGCTATTATAGGCCTTAATGCCCCTGTCTTCACCATCTGCCATGATATGTAGTACCAGCTTTCTCATAGAAAGAAGGTCGGTCATAAATGAATTTGCGCAAACATTAATACCTGTATAATGAATATTTACACATATTGAAGCTCAGCTCAGATCAATTCAATTCTTAAAAAACATCCGGTTTATGAATGTGGGATATTGTGCTTCTGTATTGGTTCAAAAAGCCAGGAAATGGCCTGATATTGCTGCACAATATCATGCCTTTGTTGCCAACAGGAAAAAAGATGCAGAGCTTTACAGAGCAAAGGGCAGCTTGAATGTTGACAACACCAATGG